AGATGCATTCTGGGAAAGTAGAGTGGGTGCAAATACTTGCTGTGAAACATTCCGAGTTGATTGTCACAGATAATCCTGAGCAGACCGGCAGCAACTGACACTACAGAAGGATTTTTGGAACAGAAGATTTTGTTCAGTGTAAACACACAGTGTGTGGTCTGGCCCCTGGCGGGGTGAAAACACAGCCATGAGACCTGCTTCCAGGGGCAGGAGATAAGAGTGAGGTCACCTACACAGAAAGTCTACACAGAGGTGGATTTGCAGGCTCACATCCATGGCTCAGATCCACAGACCCTTCCACACTCCATATCAAGCAAGCTCCCTTGACATAGGGCTACGGGGTGCCGCAGTAACATCCGAAAACAGAACAGCCCTGGCCCTAGCAAACTGATGAGGGAGGTGGACATTAGGCTCAAGTGCATCCAGGACTGTGACGGGGGTGGAACTTCCAGGATGCTGTGGGGAGACAGGCAGTTCTGACTTAGGAAATCCTGGAAGCCTGCCTGGAAGAAATATTGAAACTGAGAGCAAGGGGTGAGCAGAATTCATCTAGGCCTTTGGAATGGGGTGGGATGGGGCAGCAGGGGAGAGACTTCCAGGCAGAGAACAGGATATATTCTCTCTGGGGCATGTGAGTACATTTGACAACTCAAGTAAATATTTACTCTTTTCCTATTTTTAATTTTAAAAAATTTTCATTTTATTTGAAAGAGGGGAGGGAGGGAGTGAAGGGAGATAGGGAGAGGGAGGAAAAGGGAGGGAGGGAGGGGGAGAGAAAGGAGAGGAGAGGAGAGGAGGGGAGGGGAGGGGAGAGGAGAGGAGAGGAGAGGAGAAGAGGGGAGAGGAGAGGAGGGGAGAGGAGAGAAGGGGAGAGAATTATCTTTCATCCACCAGCTCACTCCCTAAATCCCCACAATAGCTGGGTCTGGGCCAGGCCAAAGCCAAGAGCCCAGAACTGAATCCAGGTCTCCCACGTAGGTGGCAGGGGTCCAAGTACTTGGACCATCATCTTCTGCCTCTCAAAATGTGCGTGCATTAGCAGGAGGCTGGCTCAGAAGTGGAGGTGAGACTTGAAGCAGACGCTCTGATACTGGATGCAGGTATCCAAGCAGCACCTACCCACTGAGCCAAACACTTGCCCTGTTTCTGTTTTTACAACTGACTGCACAGTGTTTACCATCTTCCAGCATGTCTATGCCAACCAGAACCAACAGACACCCTGGACCTGGGCTTTCTTTTTTAATATTTTATTTATTTATTTGAGAGGTAGAGTTACAGACAGAGAGGGAGAGACTGAGAGAAAGGTCTTCCATCTGTTGGTTCACTCTCCAAATGGCTGTAGCTGCCAGAATTGGGCTGATCTGAAGCCAGGAGCCAGGAGCTTCTTGGTCTCCCACATGGATGCAGAGGCCCAAGCACTTTGCCCATCTTTTGCTGCTTTCCCAGGCCATAGCAGAGAGCTGGATCGGAAGAGGAGCAGCCAGGCCTCAAACTGGCACCCAAATGGGATGCCGGTGCTGCAGGCAGAGGCTTAGCCCACTATACCACAGCACCAGCCCCCTGGACCCAGGTTTTCAAAGCATCCACTGCTTCTTCATTTCTGGAAGTTCTGTAAACTTCCAATGTGCCCTTCATTCCTAAGTTTTGTTTGATATTTTTAGAATAAACCTTTAAAACTTGGTGACAGTTTTTGAATTGTTATTTGGTTTTAACTTTATATTTTAAAATAATTTCAAATTTACAGAGAAGTTGTAAGAACAGTGCAATAAACAAAACAAAAAGAACCAGAAACATTCTCATATATTCCTTAATGGCTTGAGATTCTCAGTTGTTAACATTTTGCTACGGTTGCTTTATGCACTTAGAGTTATTTACCTTTACTTAGGCACACACCCTCTTTCCTCCTGCATCCTTCTTATTATCATCCAGTTGTAAACCAGTTAATCCTAAATGCTCTGTTAATGCACCTGGGAAAGCAGCAGAGGACAGCCCAAGTGCTTGGGTCAATCCCTACACCCATGTGGGAGACCAGATGGGGCTCCTGGCTTCAGGCTGGCCCAGCCGTGGCTGTTGCAGCCATTTGGCGAGTGAACCAGGGGATGGAAGATCTCTCTTTCTCTCTCTCTCCCACTCTCCCCCTCTCCCTCTTTAACTCCTCCTTTCAAATCAATAAATAAAATCCTTTAAAAAATGTTAATTGGAATCCTAAGGCTGATTTACCAGATAGATCTGAGTTCATCAAAAGAGCCTCTTTGACCTTGATGCTTGATTTTATGCTAATTTAAGCTTATTAAATAAATGCATAAAATACCCTTTGTATATGTTACATATATATTTTCTATCTTGGGTTCCTGTACAACGTATTGAGTGGAACAAGAGTTCTCTTGCTTTGGTCACTTGAAAATCACATAGTATCCCGCTTTAGCTCCTACCCACTGCACAATTTCCTCATCATCTGCAGGCCTTGCTGCTTCTTTTCTTGGTGCCTTGAATTTCACTCTAATTTTCAGCAACCTCAGGGTGAAGGGAACACTCACACCCGTTGGTTTTGGGTGTAGTTCCTGGTTGCTCCAAAGTGCACAAAATTTGAGATTTCTTTTCTTTTTGAAATTCAGTCCTGCTTATATTAAAAGTACCAATAGACTGAGCATCACCAATCTAAAAATCTGTAATATGAAATGCTCCTGAATGCAAAATGGTTTTGAGCACCCACATGACACAACAAGAGAAAACACCACACTAACCTCATACAATAGCCTGCAGTCAAAACACAGACACACTGAAAAAATACTGTGAATTACCTTCAGCCTGTGTGTATAAGGTGTCTATGAAACATAAATGAATTCTGTGTTCAGACTTGGTCTCATCCCTAAGACACCTCATTGCGTCTATGCAGATACTCCAAAACCTGAAAAAAATCTGAAATCCAAAACATGCCTGGTCCCAAGCATCCAGAAAAGGGAGGCTCGACCTGCACAGCCACAAGCTGTGCCATCACCTGCTTAGCCACTAACCAGCCCACACAAATGCTCCAGGTATAGGATGGTCCTACCTCGGAGCTGTGCAGCCCGGAGTCCTCAGCCTGCGAATGAGGACACCGAGATGCAGACAGGTATCTTCTGGAGAAGAGCTGCTAATGGCTGCCAGCCTCTGCCTATGCCAGGGGTTAGGGGCCTCCCGACAGCCGAGGTACTGCCTCAAGGGTGGCCAGGCCACTTTCTGACCTCCTGGCAAGTGTGGGCTGTTGGCAGCAGCAGCAGGCCTGGAGCAAGGTCCTCAGGGCCACTTAGTCAGCTCAAATGCAGCTATAGGTCTGAAGCCCAGCCAGGTCTTTGGAGGCCTCTAGATTTCCCAGTAGATTCTGCACTAGAAGATGGTCCTAACGGAATCCCAGGACTGAAGAGGTGTGGACACTGTAGCAGCCCAGTTAAAATATATTTCCATTGGGAAAATCCATTCTCTGTTCTAAAAGAATTTCCAGGCTCAGCCAATGCATCTATAAATTGGGAATCACAACATGTTTAAAAAAAAGATGTATTTATTTATTTGAAAGTCAGAGTTACACAGAGAGAGAGGAGAGAACCAGAGAGATCTTTGATCTGCTGGTTCATTCTCCAAATAGCCTCAATGACTGGAACTGGGCCAGGCAGAAGCCAGAAGCCAGGAGCTTCTTCCAGGTCTCCCAAGTGGGTACAGAGGCCCAAGTACCTGGACCATCTTCTACTGCTTTCCCAGAGGCATTAGTAGGGAGCTGGATGGGAAGTAGAGCAGCTGGGACTCCAATTGGCACCAAAGAAGCTGGCTTAATCCTCTGCGCCACAGCACCGGCCCCACCACTTACAAGTTTTGAAGTTATTTATTTGAAAGGTGAAGTTACAGAGACAGAAACAGAGGGGAAGGGGGCAGGCAAAGAGATCTTCCATCTCTTGGTTCAGGCTGAAGATGGCAACAATGAATCTAGGAGCCTTATCCAGGTCTCCCACATGGGAGGCAGGGCACTGGAACCACCTTCTTCTGCCTTCCCAGGCCATTAGCAGAGAACTGGATCATAAATGGAGCGTCAGGGACTCCAACTGGTGGCTCTGCTACCTCCTAATGGTTTCATATTTACGTGCCCCAAGTTACAGTAGCTACTTGGCTGGTTCAACGGGGATCTCAGGAAGTACAGGATGGTCCTAGGCTCAAGAACTAGGGGTGGGTATTTGGTGTTTGGGACGCCCAGTGTCCCACTTGGAAGTGTCCCTGCTCTGCCTCTGATCCCAGCTGCCTGCTGATGTGCCCGGGGAGGCAGCAGGGGATGGGGATCAAGTACTTGGGTCCCTGCCACCCACATGGGAGATTCAAACGGGGTCCCAGATCCCGGTGTCTACCTGGCCTGTCCCTCACTACGGTGGGCATTTGGGGAGAGCTCGATCTCTCTGGCTCTTTTTCTGCCTTTCGAATAAAGAAAACACACAAGTAAATGGTTAAAACAAAAGAAGCCCACAGCAGCCCTGCAGAGATGATGCACACACACACAAGGAAAAGCTGCCGGCATGCTCTGATGAGTGGAGGGAGAAGGGACCGTGGTGGGCGTGGGGCTCACGAGCTGCACTGGCAGCTTGTCCACATCCTCGCCTGCAGCCGCTCGCGCTCTGGGCTTGAACCTCCACTTAAGGGGTGGGCAGGAGCTCAGCCCAGGAACTAGACTGGGCTCGTCGGCAAAGCAACAGAAGCATAAGGAGCGACCCTGGCGGAAGCTCCCCAAGCCCCGTTTTAACTTGGTGGACGTCTGCCAAGTCCCCGGGAGAGGCTGCGACCTTAGAATCCTGGCCGCACCCAGACTCCTGCGTCTGCAGCCGTCCCGCCGCCCCGCTTGTCGGCGCCCGTCTCCAGGGGGCGCTGCTGCATGCCTCCGCTGCCGGCCCCGCGCGTGCGCGCCGGCCAGGTGAGGAGGCGGCGGCGGCCCGGGCCTCGCGGCGGGGGGCGGGGCCTGGGCGGGGCGGGGCCGGGCCGTGCAAGACCAAGGCCAGAGGCGGGACCAGCCGCCGCCGTCTCCGTCTCGGGTCCCGGCCCCCGCAGCGCCCGGCAGCCGTCGCTGAAGGAACGGAAACCGCCAGCAGCGCCCGCTCGGAGCCGCGCCGGCCGACAGCGCGCCTCCGCCCGCCCCGGCCCCGCCCGAGCGCCCCGCGGGTCCCCGGCTCGAACCCCTCGGCCGATCGCGCCCACCTGAGCCCGTGAGCCGGCGCCATGGCGGAGCAGGAGAGCCTGGAGTTCGGCAAGGCGGACTTCGTGCTGATGGACACCGTCTCCATGCCCGAGTTCATGGCCAACCTGAGGCTCAGGTGAGGGCGGAGCCCGCGCGCGCACGGGCTCAGAGGCTGCGCTTCCTCAGAGGGGGCGCGGGGCTGGGCGGCGCGGCCACCTTCGGGGTGTCGGGGCGGCGCCGGGCTCCCGGGGGCAGTCCGGCGGGGACGGAGAGGACGCCCCGGGGGCGCCGGCCGGAGCGCGGGGGCCGTGCGGGGCCGGAGGTGCGCCCGCGCCGCGCCAGGTGAGCGCTGTGGGCGGGGCGGGTGACCGAATGGAAACGCCGGGAAAGCTCTGACTAGCCGGGAGAGGGGAGGTGGCCCCGAAAGCCCTGGGCAGACCTGCGTGCTGTGTGGGGGAGCAGCTGGCGGCTCCTCCCGCGTCCACACTTGCGTCTTCTCGTTCTTGTCGTGCCCCCCACCCCCGCGTGGATCCCTCGTGTCGCTCAGGACCCCGCCGAACGATCCCTGAGCTGGCTGTTTTTCAGTGACTCCCTAAACGTAATTAGACACGTCTCCAGACATAGAAGAGACTGCCGCGCTCGCCGGTGCCAAGATAAACTGTCTGAGCTTGACAAGGCGTCCCTGGTTTCAGCTTTTTCGAGGAGTTTGTGGATGGAGCCCTTGTGTTGCTGACATCCCTGAGAATGGGACGCACGAAACACACCCCCAAAAATGGGCTTGTTGGAGAGAACCTTCTAGCCGGATTGATTTGCTCTTGATAGCAGAGTTACAGAGCGGTTTGTCTTTTTTTTTTTTTTTTAAACATTACAGTAAACAGTTTCAAAATAGCTAAATTTTTGGTGTGTGTGTGTGTGTTCCGGGAAGCTTTGGCCCTATTTCTTGTCAAGTTTATAACTACACATCACTCTGTAAGCTTATAAAGTGAAATCATAATCCAGGTTTGGATGCTTAACTAACCCCATTTCTCAGTATTGGTTATCCCTGTCAGTCCTAATTCAAGAGTTTGTGAATCTGGCTTAATCATTGAAATGGCAAACCACATGGGCGTCATCTGTTCCTGAGCCCGGGGTAGGAGCACAGCCCTGGGTGCTGACCCTGCCCTGGTCAGAGTCTCTGTGTCCTAACTGGAGACACCACGAGGCCACTGGGGTTTCTTTCAGTGCTCATGTGCGGGACTGTAAGTGTTCCAGGTGCAGGTGGGCTCAAGATTGCACAGAGTGTGGCAAAGTAATATGTGGTCCGTATCCATGGAGAGGGGACCCGGATGCCAAAATCCATGAGTGCCCACTTCGCTTACACGAGTTGGTGTAGGATAGCAGCCCCCTGCTGTCTGTGTGGGATCCGTCCCATGGCCCCCAGTGGATGCGTGGAACTGCAGATAGTACCAATCCTCTATAGGCTGGCTGTGTTCCTGTACATAGCTATGATGAAGGTTGCTTTATAAATTAGGCACAGTAAGAAATTAGCAATAATAATATAAACATCAAACAGTTACAACACTGCACTGGAATAACAGTTGTGTGATGTGGCTTCTGTCTCTAAAAATTTTTATGGCACTGTATTCCCCCTTCTTGTGGAACAGCACGGTTTTGAATAAGGATGGAGGCCACTGTTTACGTAGAACCCATGCACATCCTCCTGTGTGCTTAATTTTTTTTTTTTTTTTTTGACAGGCAGAGTGGACAGTGAGAGAGAGAGACAGAGAGAAAGGTCTTCCTTTGCCGTTGGTTCACCCTCCAATGGCCGCCGCGGCCGGCGCGCTGCGGCCGGCGCACCGCGCTGATCCGATGGCAGGAGCCAGGAGCCAGGTGCTTTTCCTGGTCTCCCATGGGGTGCAGGGCCCAAGCACCCGGGCCATCCTCCACTGCACTCCCTGGCCACAGCAGAGGGCTGGCCTGGAAGAGGGGCAACCGGGACAGAATCCGGCGCCCCGACCGGGACTAGAACCCGGTGTGCCGGCGCCGCTAGGCGGAGGATTAGCCTAGTGAGCCGCGGTGCTGGCCCTGTGTGCTTAATTTTTAAAAAAGATTTGAAAGAGTGACAGAGAAGCAGGGAGAGACAGATCTTCCATCTACTGATTCACTCCCCAAATGCCTACAACAGCTAAGGCTGGGCCAGGCCAAAGCCAGGAACCAGGAACTCCGTCTGGATCTCCTGCATGAGTGGCAGGGAACCAAGTAGACAGGCCATGACCCACTGTCTTCCCAGGCACGTTGGCAGGAAGCTGGATTGGAAGCGTAGTAATCAGGACTCGAACTGGTGCTCTGATAGGGGATGCAGGTATCCCAAGCGATAGCTTAAAACCCGCCTCTCCTATATACTTTAAATCATCTCTAGATTACTCATAATACCTCATAAAATGTTTCTGATACATAAATAGTTGTTTTTTTTTTTTTCTTTTTTTGACAGGCAGAGTGGACAGAGAGAGAGAGACAGAGAGAAAGGTCTTCCTTTGCCGTTGGTTCACCCTCCAATGGCCGCCGTGGCCGGCGCGCTGCGGCCAGCGCACCGCGCTGATCCGATGGCAGGAGCCAGGAGCCAGGTGCTTTTCCTGGTCTCCCATGGGGTGCAGGGCCCAAGCACCTGGGCCATCCTCCACTGCACTCCCTGGCCACAGCAGAGAGCTGGCCTGGAAGAGGGGCAACCGGGACAGAATCCGGCGCCCCGACCGGGACTAGAACCCGGGGCGCTGGCGCCGCTGGGTGGAGGATTAGCCTATTGAGCCGCAGCGCCGGCCTGATACATAAATAGTTGTTAATAGTTGTTATACTCTATCATTTAGGGAGTAATGTTGAGATAAAAAGTCTTTTCTCCCCCCAAGTACTTTGAGCCCATGGTTCGTTGCCATCAAGGGTGCAGAGCCTATGGGTCTGGAGGGCCGAGTGTAATCAGATTTTTATACCTAGCATGTTGTGATACTGTGTTACCCCTGTGGTCAAAGTTTGGCTCCCCAGCTTTTATAGAAATGACCCCAATACCATATTAATCAATCAAAATGACATATACCTCCATCAGCTGTAACCAATACCTACTACCGTAGTGTTTAGGAATCAACCTGTTGAAATCCAAATTCAGATTTTACCACTTTCTTGCTGTGGTCCTTGGGAAAGTTACTTAACCTCTCTGTGCCTTGGTCTTATCTTAGAATTGGGTTTGTCCTGAGGGTTTAATGAACTTAATATGTTTAACTTCAAAGATGAGTGCCTGGCAAATACATATTAGCAGTCTTGCTCAGTGGAAAGTGCTCCCAAGTGCACATAAAGCAGCCGGGGGTGAGTTAGATGGCCATTTCAGAGACTACAATTGGTTACTGTTATTTACGAGGTCCCACCACCCTTCCTCCAGGAAAAGAGCTGCATGCTTGGAGAAATCCCTGGGTAATGTAATCACCCTCAGCTTACAATCACGGTAGTTTATCAGACTTGAAGTACATTTGTTACATATGTACTGCATACGAGACAGTGTTGTAGCCGTTGGGTACGAAGCCATTCATTGTAATGTCCACTGTCACCTCCAGCAGACACATGACGTTAGCCAGAACTTTGCAGAATTTTGAGAATTGAAAGTGAAGCCTTGAGGATGAAGCTGGCCACGGCGGTTTATAGAACTGCTCCTTTGCAATAGAATTAAAGCTCATATGGGTTTTAAAAAGTTGGGGGCGGGCACTTAAGCGGATTTTTTTTTTTAATACTTTCATATTCATTGGTGGCAGAGTCTGTAAGTGAGGGCTGACTCTTAGATTGCTAAGGTGTGTCTAACTCAACTCTTCTCGCACAGAAGAGAACATTGCAAGTTACTCATTGTACTTTGTATAAGGTACGTTAGAAGGTAGGACCCAAAGAACTGGGAGATGTGCTGTCTGCCTCTCAAAGGGGGAAAAAGGGAACTTACCTGTCGATGTAGAGAGTAGTTCAGGAAAACAAAAGGAGAGAACTCAGGAGTTCACTCGCCAAGTAATTGTGCAGACTAATTGTTCTGGAAGTTCAGGGGAGGGAGCGATGCCTTAGGCGGATCTAGACGCGCATGTGGAGGAGGTGAGGACTTGAGCTGAGTCCCAAGGATGAGCAGTATTTGTCTTGTTGGGCATGTGGGCGGGGAGCATTCCAGGTGGATAAAGTGGCATGAACGCTGACTCTGGGCGACTGCGAATGAGCTAAGTTGTCTGGAAAGGAAGGAGTTGGTGTTGAGTAGTGGGAGGAATCTCCAGCTCTCATTAGCAAGACTGCGCATAACCAGGTTCTTGAGTCTACCTTTGCATCAAGCACCAGCACGGCTGTGAGTCTGGCTGTTCAGATGTGTGCATCTCATCTGGGTGTCCACTGGGCAGCTCTGAGAACTGGCTGCTGTTCTCATTGTACGGCTCAGTGGTTATTCCTGATTTGCTTGCAGGCTGGAGTAGTTGGTTCCCTGAAGCCAGACAGTCCCAGGACAGGAGAGTGTCTTGACCTCCTCTCCAGCTGTAACCCCCCAACCCAGAGAGAAAGCAGTCCTCTCTCTCACAGCTTGAATTTCATATCACCCCGCCTTCTCTCCAGACTGTTTTTGTGTTTCATTGAATGAGCTCCTGCTGATGTGTCCCGTGGGTATTTGTTTCACATTGCAGAAGGTGACCAGAAACCAGCGGAGGTCCAGGTGCTGTGCTGTGATGTTGAAGTTTTCCTCTCCAGAGTATTGGTGATTGGGCCACCCTGGATGTCTATTTGTGGGTGGGGCTGTGTGATTGAAAGCTGTATGTGTGTGTGTACCTGGTCACTCCTGCCCTCCCCCCTCATGTGGCTCCTGCTCCCATTCCCGAATCTGAATGTCTTGTCTTCTGTTTCCCTCGGGTTCCTCTGAAAGGCCCGCCTGCTTCCTTTATGGTCTGCAGCTTACAGGTAAGCACGCAAGGCTGCAGTTGCTTGAGGGGCCTGTGTCGTGGGAACTTGGTTTGCATTTTTTCAACAGCAGCACCTGGAGTAATGCTGGACACGTAGTACATTCCTTTATGACAACATTTTTTGTAAAGAGGGGAAAAAAAATGAATGTTCCCAGTACTTTTGCTGAAAACCTTTGTGGCATTATCCGTTTAGAATTAT